CTTATAAAATGATCAGAAAGGAGAGTTAAGTTGTTTTTTGAATCTTCATCATCTATGTAGAAAACGTTCCATGAGTTTATTGTGCTACAACTCCCCCTTTCACCAACTCCAAGAATGTCTTTTTCACAATCATCACGGGTAATAACTGAAAATAGATCAGCAGCAGGTATAAATCCCTATCAGTAATCGATGGCAATCTGTCACTTGTTCCTTGCATGGACAGAGATTTAAGCTAGGAGATATGGATGTATGGTTTAATCTGAAAATGTTTGACTTTTTAGGATACTTTAACGTCATGCAAATTTTCTATCATTTTCTAAGACAATGTGAAGAGAACATCACTCTTCAAGGAGACTTTGCCTGTGAGCGCCAGATCCTCCAGCTGTGCACGGGGAACTCAACACTGCCGTTCCTGACCACCCTTCTTATGGACAGTAAGGGTACAGAGAAAGGGTTTCTTGCTTGCATTTAAAAAAATAAGTCACGAGCTCATCCACTTCTGCCTATTTGTGATGTTCATTCTAGCACGTGTGCTTGTGTGCACAAGAGTTCTACCACACTGCAGACTTCCACTGATTAGAAGAGATTCAGTGTGAAGCAATAAAGACAGAATGTAAACACTGTTGCTTCTGATAAATAACCAATAGCAACATCCTAAAGAAGAGTGAGGCCCTCCAAATGAATTGTTTCTAGACACTCTCCCCAGAGGCCCCGTCTCCATGGCTGCTGTCTCCCTTCCTCCCCATAAGACCCATGGAAGGCCAGGTGCAGTGGCTCACACCTGTAATCCCAGTGCTTTGGGAGGCTGAAGCAGACAGATCACTTGAGCTCAGGAGTTCAAGACCAGCCTGGGCAACACAGTGAGACCTCATCTCTACTACAAATGTTTTTAAAAATCAGCCAGATATGGTAGTGCATACCTGTGGTCCCAGCTATTTCGAGAGGCTGAGGTGGGAGGATTGCTTGAGCCTGGGAGGCGGAGGTTGCAGTGAGCCAAGATTGTGCCACTGCACTCCAGACTGGGTGACAAGAGCCAAGAGCGAGGCTCTATCTCCAAAAAAAAAAAAAAAAAAAAAGCCTGAAAAAGGATTTCAGGACATCTGTGAAGGAAGACACGGAAAGCAACTTTAGAAGAGGGCAAGCGTCTGCCGGAAAGAGGGTGCTCCTAACAACTCACGCCAGTTGGCCCTGTGATCTGCCTGCCCTCTCCACCTACGGTTCTACTTCCCACATAGGGTGTGCGCCAAAAGGCGTGTCTCAGAAGCCCTCGGTCTCTTCGTTAAAAGATGCCAACCGTTCACCAAAATACCACATACACTAATGGAAACAAAAAGAAGGAAGGGCTACAAAAGAGGAGAAACAAAGAAAACACGTGTGGGGCTCCAAGGACAGCAGACAACAGGAGCTTTTCTATAAGCACAGCCTAATAAACAGCACACCAGGAACAGACACACAGTAAACGCCACAAGAGGCCTCCCAATAGCCCAGGCAACGGCAGGGGAAAAGCACAATGGGAGAAAACGCTATTGGAAGACAAGGAGGATACAGTGCAACTCTGATCTGTGCAAAGAGATTTGTTATAATGAAGGGATAATTTAAGCAATGTCGTCTAATCTAAGTTTGTGGTGCTTTTGGATTTAATTCATATATTTGATTCATTGCAATGTGGAAGCCTAGTGATTTAGAGGCGGGCTAAGGGCAAAAACTACAGAGCACAAGTACGTTTGCAAAACACAGGAAGTCTCTAGAACGTTTTCCCTGCACTGGGTTATGCAGAGCAAGCTTATGTCTGTGACTCCAGGCTTTTCCGGAGGCACCTGAAGCCGGAGGGCCTGGCGGCGTGCCCCATGGGCGCGACCGCGGCTGCAGATGACCCGATTCAGGTGAGACACAGCGCCACGCGTGCTTCGAAGGGCGAAGAGCCAGGTTAAGCACGAGTCAAGTAGCTGTGCTGCTCTTTCCTGATCAGAGCAGGAACTCGCAGCATTTCACACTGGAAAACAGCCTTCCCTGCAGGATGGAAATCTCAGTTCTGCCTATGGCAGGAATAAAACAGAATTCTTGGAACTTAGACATGAATGTTGTGGAACAATTTTGTCTTTCTTCCTCGAGAGGCTGACAGATTAGGGAAATACTTAACAGAAGATCCATGCTGCCTTCGAAGTCTGGCAGAAAGAGTCAGTCTCTGGAAGCCACGACTGAAAATCACGAGATCCAGGGTAACTTGAAGGACGCGATCAACTTCTGCCTGTGGACGACCAACAAGACCAAGATTGCTCGGCAACTGTGTTAGTTTTCTGTTGCTCCTACAAATTGCCACAAACTTGGCAGCTTAACTCAAAGCCCACTTACAGCTGGGAGCAGCTGAGGGTGGTCCCAGCAGACAGCCAGGAGACAAGCCTGCATCCTACAACCCCAGGAGCCACGTGAGGTGAGAGCCCTGACACAGCCTGGCAGGGGCCTGGACGGCAGCCTGGAGACCTGAGGCCAGCGCCCTACGAAGCCACAGCCAGTACATACCGCTGAAGAGGCATGTGCTGTTGGAAGCCGCTGTGTTTGTGGGAATTCCTCTGCAGTGTATAATGACTATGGAAGCAGGGGCCGCGGTAACAAATGCCTGAAATGCAGGAGGCGCTCTGGTTTCCAGCAGTGGGTAGAGGCTGGGAGGCTTTTGAGGAGCCACAGAAAAAGCAGAGCGTGCCTGGAATATCCAGGGGGCAGAAAGGCCGTGCCCTGCAGGTCGTGGAAGCAGCTCCTGTTGTGCTGAGGCTGGTCCTGCACTCGGGGGGTTTCCTGGTGGGGGGACAGGGCAAGGGTGGAGAAGAGGGTAAATGCGGGAAGAGCTATACGATGGTGGAGTAACTAAAAGCCGAGCGTCTCCAGCCGGAAAAGGCACTGAAATGAAAAGCCTAACTGATATGGTTTGGGTCTGTGTCCCCACCCAAATCTCATCGTGAATTGTAATCCCCACGTGTCAGGGGAGGAACCTGGTGGGAGACGACCGGATCACGGGGTGGATTTCCCCCTTGCTGTTCTTGTGACAGTAAGTTCTCAGAAGATCTGGTTGCTTGAAGGTGTGTGGCTCTTCCCACTTTGCTCTCTCTCTCCTGCTGCCTTGTGAAGAAGGCCCTGGCTTCCCCGTCACCCCCACGGTGACTGTGCATTTCCTGAGGCCACCCAGCCACGCTTCCTGTTAAGCCTGCAGAACTGTGAGTCCAGTAAACCTCTTCATAAGTTACTCAGTCCCAGGTAGGTCTTCATAGCAGTGCGAGAATGGACTAATATCCCGACTGTCAGGAGGGTGTGCCCCTAAGAAAAGGCTGAGGATGGGCCACACTGCATGTGGTTAAAGCCTCGGGAAGATCAGGAGGTCAGAGTGCAGGCCTAGGAAGGGTCTCTCAAGAAGCGGAGGAGGCATCTCACAGATCCTCAGGCAGAAGAGAGAGTGAAGGGTGAAGGGTGAAGGGTGAAGGTGAAGGGTCAAGGGTGAAGGGGGCAGTCCCTTGGCCGTCTTAGCAGGAGACCGAGGCAGAGAAGAGATCGTTTCTAAAAGATCTGCAGTTAGGCTCTTGTCTGAGGGAGTGAAGTCTCAGGAAATCTACTGAAGACCCACAGATTCTTGAGAAACGTGTTTCTGCTGAGACATTGTCAGCTTGGACCAATCGGCACAGACAGCAGACAAAACACAAGGAGGCTCTCGGATCCCCAACCTCCCGCTGGCAGGAGGGAGGCGCACAGCCACACTCAGCCACAAGCCACAGTGTCCTCCAAGTGGAAGGCAGGGCCCTCAGAGAGTGGACACAGGGCGGCTGTGAAGTTAAAGTGGAAGGAGGGCTGGGCACGGTGGCTCACGTCTGTAATCCTAGCATTTTGGGAGGCCAAGGCGGGTGGATCACCTGAGGTCAAAAGTTCGAGACCAGCCTGGACAACATGGTGAAACCCCGTCTCTATTAAAAATATAAAAATTAGCCAGGCATGATGACGTGCACCTGTAATCACAGCTACTCAAGAGGCTGAGGCAGGAGAATTGCTTGAACCCAGGAGGCAGAGGTTGCAGTGAGCCCAGATTGTACCACTGCACTCCAGCCTGGGTGACAGAGCGAGACTCTGTCAAGAAAAGAAAGGAAAAGAAAGGGAAAAGGAGAGGGAAAGGGAAGGGAAACATACACAGAACTCAGTGAAAGCAGAATTTTAGATCAGGACGTCCTGGTGACCAGCCTGACACACAATCCCCACACATCAATATTCTGAAGCCAGGGTGTGAGAGGGAAGATCAGACAGAATGCATTAAAAGTATCTAAACAGTCATTCAGCCTGTGGGACAAATGAAGGCAACATTTTAGAAACTACATATCAAAAACTAGAAAGAATTTGTTCTGGCTTACATGGTAAAGAAAGAGATCCTAGGAGATAGTTCTCCATAGAGCCAGAATTCAGAAAGGAGTCATTGATGATGACCAAACAAGAACTGGGGAACAGGGAGGCTCAGTTCAGTGACTCAGGCGTTTGCATTGACACAAACTAAGGTCCCAGAGCCCCAGAGCCCCGAGAGCCTGGAGAGCCCAACAGCAGGCAGGAAGAAGCCTACCAGGCGTATCACCAGTCAACGCGCGTGTGTGCACGGAACTGCCCTTACCAAAGAGGACTGGAAGACGGTCACCAAGACACTATAGGAGAGAGGTGAATCCCTGCTGCTCCCTGCAACGTAGAGTTTCTGCATCAGGACGCCTGTGTCTGCCTCGCCAGAACCTCCAGCACCGTACTTCCCTGACCAAGGGGTCACGTTCCTGGAACAGCTGATTCCAGCTTCAAGTCTTAGAATCTTAAGACTCTAATAATTTCTGCAAACATCTACTCACAGCTTCTCTGTGTATGCAACACCTTCATTAATGGCTAAATCTTTTAAGTCATGTGTCGACCCATTAGCAATACAAAACCAGTCTTAGGAAATACCTCCAGTTACCTCCAGTGACCAGGTACCTTAGAAAAGCCGCACTTACTTCTGTTGTAGCAGGTCGCCAGCACGCCTCTGTCTGCAGGGCTAGCACTAATGTGCCAGATTTCACCCGCTTGATGGAGGAGGACATTTTTATTTATAATGTTGTTTTCATCGTCAAAATCTATGATGTGGATCTAGAAATACAAGAAAAGAGCACATCAGGATCTCAAACACTTTCCTCAGTACCTTCATCAGACGTCATGATTACAAAGAATAATCACATGCACATTTCATGACAGATACATCTTTAATTGATTGTTATTATGCCAACAGTATGTACTTCTATAATTTCTTACTGGACTCCTCTCCAAAGACAAGTTAGAAAATCCCTGTGGAACATTTTTAAGATTGCAAGCTACGTAAGATTGCCCTCTGGTCACATCCAGTCTTAAAGAAAGAAGGCACCAAATGCTGTGTCTTCAAGTGGTTCTAAGACTGAGCCACTGTTGGTGTCAAGGCCAGAGCTGCTCAGGGCTGTCCCTATCAGCAAGGTCCTCCCAGCCTGCTGCATGGCTGCTGGGGAGGGCAGGGGCAGCAGGCCACGACTGCCTAATTAGGTCTGGGACTGACCGTGCCTGGCCCACTCTGTCTACAGTGGGCAGAACTCGACTCATATGTAAGACATGATTAAGGTGGGAGAGAGTAAGAAAGGGCTGTATATTCACACGCTCTTATTCTCTTTTCAAAAACAAATCCAACAGCCACTGGTGCCTATTATCTTATGACATTAAATGGTATAACATTTTAGCCACTACATAAGAAAGTTAAATATACTATCGCCATGCTTTCCAGGATAACTTTTAGAGGAATTGAAATGATTTCACATTTAATTTCTTACCAATACCCAAGTCAATGAGAAAACGTAATTCCTCTTTTAAAAGTAAATCTGTACTAAGAAAAATATTCATGGATCTGCACAAAAGATTTATATCCAAGTACGTTTACTATGGCATTGATTATTGTAATAAAAAAATTAGAAGTCACCTAAATGTTTAGTAATAGGAAACTATTCAAATAAATTGCAGTATTTGAGGGTAATATAATATTATGACGCCATTCGGTATACTGCAGACTACTCAGTGGCATGGAACGATGTAATATATATTTTAGAAGATAATATAAAAAAGAAACGGTACGAATGCTACATCCTTTTCTAGTTTGTTTGTTTTTAAAAAGTATGCGTGTCCAAACAAAAAACTAGCAGGTGCCTGAATGGTGTCCGCATGGTGGAATTGTAGGTGGTTTTCCCTTACTTCTTTGTGCTTTATTTATACTTTTAACATTTTTGCCTAATGAGGTCTGAGACTGACCGTGCCTGGCCCACTCCGCAATACGTTTGCAATCAAAACAAACATTAAATGCTATTTTTAAACTGTCTCCACAATACCCAGTAGCACCTACACGTCACCCAAGCCTCAGATGGTCCTTTCATTATTTCCAGCTGCTCCTCTCAGGGTCTGATCTGTGTCCCGTCCAAATCTCACATCAAATTGTAACCCCAATGTCGGACGTGGGGCCTGGTGGGAGGTGACTGGATCATGGGGATGGGCCTTCACGAATGGGTTAGCACCATCCCCACTTGGTACAGTCCTCACGAGAGTGAATTCTCCTGAGACCTGGTCATTTAAAAGTGAGTGGCATGGGCTGGGCGTGGTGGCTCACGCCTGTAATTGTACCACTTTGGGAGGATGAGGCAGGCGGATCACCTGAGGTCAGGAGTTTGAGACCAGCCTGGCCAACATGGTGAAACCCCATTTCTACTAAAGATACAAAAAACTAGCCAGGCGAGGTGGCGGCGCCTGCAGTCTCAGCTACTCGGGAGGCTGAGGCAGGAGAATGGCGGGAACCCGGGGGGCGGAGCTTGCAGTGAGCCGAGATCGCGCCACTCACTCCAGCCTGGGCGACAGAGCGAGACTCCGCCTCAACAACAACCACCACCAAAAAGTGAGTGGCATCTTCCCCTCTTCTTGCTCCTGCTTCTACCATGTGAGGCGGCTGCTCCCTCTTCGCCTTCCGCCATGACTGGAAGTTTCCTGCGGCCTCCCCGGAAGCAGATGCTGCCATGTTTCCTGCACAGCTCCAAAATGTGAGCCAAAAAACCCTCTGTTCTTTATCAATCACCCAGTCTCAGTTATTTCCTCACAGCAGTATAAGGTCACCCCGAGGAGTCATTCTGGACTTGCTCAGAATGGAATTCATACCCGGCCAGTGCCAGAGCCGTGTGAGCTGAGCCAGAATCTCCCAGGAGTAGAGCGCGGCCGCCAGTGCCGGGTGCTGGGGCCAGGGAGAAGCCAGACATGGCCGGCTTGCCCGCCGCAGAGCAGGAGCCCGGTGAACATGTGCGCCCGCCCTTTCCATTCGGGGCCACTGCAGTTCCCACAGCAGCTTCAGAAACATTCCCAGTGAACAGCTTCCAATTACAAATCACACATCTAAGAACCAGGGAAATGAACACAGCACTTGTTTTTATAAGTGAAACTTTATTGTACTCTTTTTCCTTTCCACACCCAAGGACAGTTTACCTATGAACAGTTTTTCTCCTCTGTGGACCTGTTACACATTTATAATATACTATTAATTATTAAATAATTACTCAGTGATATTGAGAAAAATATTTGGCAGAAATACATATGTCCTATGATGCCACATCTCTACAATTGGGGATAGACCCTACAAACACCAAAGAAAAGGCAAGTGCAAGAATTTTCACAGCAGATATATTTTTGATAGCCAAAGCAGTAAACATCTCAGATGTCCATCAACAATAGAATGGGTAGGCCAGGTGCGGTGGCTCACACCTGCAATCCCAGCACTTTGGGAAGCCAAGGCGGGTAGGTCACCTGAGGTCAGGAGTTTAAGACCAGCCTGGCCGATATGGTGAAACCCCGTCTCTACTAAAAATTTAAAAATTAGCCGGGTGTAGTGGCAGGCGTCTATAATCCCAGCTACTTGGGCGGCTGAGGCAGGAGAATCACTTGAACCCACGAAGGGGAGGTTGCAGTGAGCTGAGATCACACCACTGCACTCCAGCCTGGGTGACAGAGCAAGACTCTGTCTCCAAAAAAAAAAAAAAGAAAAACCCACAATAGAATGGGTAAATCAGTTGTGGTATATTCACAAATGCAGTTCTCACAGTAATGACAAGTAACAACAACACACACACAGACAACGCTGAGTGAGAAAAATCAGACACGAGAAGGAGCACCTTGTGCGATTACCTCAGGCAAATGACAGAGACCATTCACCACGGGCCTGGAGCTGGCCCAGACTCCAGGAATCTTAGGGGACTGCTGGGGTGCCCTCCATGGCAGTGACACGGGGGCACGTGGGTGTGGGCGCGTGTGCATGCAGGTGTGCACCTGTGTGTGGGAGCATGGGTACATGGTCTACACGTGTATATGCATGGGTGTGCATGTGTGGGAGCACAGGTATGTGGCCCACCTCTGTATGTGTGTGTGTGGGTGTGGGGGAGGTGCAGGTGTGTGTGGAGGGAGTGTGGGTGTGAGACAGGTGCAGGTGTGAATGTAAGTGTGTGTGAGGGTCTGTGGGTACATGGGTATGGTGGGTGTACATGGGTGTGAATGCACGTGTGTGTGGGTGTGAGGCAGGTGCAGGAATGTGGGAGGTGTGTCGGAGGGTGTGGGTGCATCATGGGTGTGGGTGGGGGGGTACGTGGGTGTGGGAACTGGTGCATGCATGTGTAAAGACGCCCCCAGTAGCATATTCTGGATGTGTGCACTTGGATGCATGTTAAGTTATAGTTATACCTTACAGGGCAGAAATGCATTAGAATAAAAACTAGTAACAAATACATGAAGAAAATTCATTCTTTATTATAACCAACAACTTAAAAATTTTTAAATGAGAATTTCACGATACCAATTAATATTTACTATATTAGCCAACTTCTTCTAAGTGATGGCAACCAATACAGGGAATTCTATGATAGTATTGGTCCACGTTATAACTTGTCCAATTTTTTTATAAGGTTCATTATAATATGTAAATAAGAACTACATAAATGTTGAAACTGAAACAATAATTTGACTTTGTGAAATCTGCCCCAAAGAATAAATGAACAAAAAAAGGTGTATTATGAAATGTTATATAGCTTTAAAAGTTATGATTAAGAGCAATTATTAATACCAAAAATGTTACAAGAGTATTAAATTTTAAAAGCAGGCTATAAAATGGCATGTGATTATATAATACCATCACACAGGAACACAGACCACAAGGGGATACAGAAAATTAGAAGTAATTTTTGTGTTGCTAGGGAATTTTTTTCCTCAGCATTTTTCACATTTCCTACTTATCAGGAAATCCATTAGCACTGAAAAAAGGGACGCACTTAAATGTACTACTTTGCAAATCTGCTCCTCTGAAATGCACCAGGGCAGCAGGCACAGCCGGGGGTTTTCTGGGTGTGTCTTCAGGACAGTGCGGGCGAGGCCCCCACGCTGGCCCATCGGCCTGGCTGCAAGTCTCAGCAGACCCTCTCTCCTAGTCTCCTGCCTCCCCACAGGCTCTGCCTCTGGCTGGACCCACTTTCTTCCCATAAAGCTGTTTTCCTTCTCATGGAGACACAAGGCACAGCTTTCCAATGGGACTCAGCTCCTCTAGGTTCACCTCTTCCAGCCAACAAGCACGCACAGGGCAGAAGGGGGATCCATGTTCCTCCCAAGCCCATGTCTCCTAATCTGGCACACTGCAATAGAAATGGTCTTTAACCTTCATTGCCAAGCCTGACGAGTCTTGAGATTTTCCCACATCCCTTATTTTATGGTTGATTCATAGAGTAGCGCAAAGTACACATCTTCACGCACTGTTTTAACACGGGGCTGTTCAAACAGGATGCCATCAACCACCATGAGCAAAAATAACGAAGTAATGGCTGAAATCTATATTGCACCAGGCACTATGCGAAGTATTTTATACACTTTGGTTAGTGCCTTAATCCTTAAAACAGCCCTAGAATATATTACTATTAACCACAATGTACAGGTGAAAAGACAGAGGCTTGAAGAGTGGAGGGCCTTGGCTACTCCAGTCAGGCACGGTACAGCCAGGCCTACGGGAGCCCCTGGTCCTGGCACGCGAGCTCTGCAGCCCCACCGCCTGCCCCGGAGATGCG